TGCATACTGATTTTTCATGCCGTTTACCTAAATCTACATTCTTAAAGGGTATTCTCAGTGAAGAGGGTCTGCTATCACATTATTTGTTAAAAAAAAAAAAAAACTACATTTGCTGCTAGTAGATTCACAATGTAGATGAGAAGTCCTGAAGGAAATGAAACTTGTTTAACATTTCTCAAATATACTGGTTATAAAAACATTTGCTTATGTTTAAACTCGTGGGAAATGCTGACCTAAGTTAATTAAGAGGGCAGTAGAGAAACAGTTCCTTAGAGGTGTCAGAAAGTTGTTCCTACTTCATCAATGAATAAATGATTATGTAAATTTAAGACATGTTCAATAGGCCATATAATTTTATTGGAGAGGTCATACAATTCACACAAGTTGCCTATTTGAATCAAAGGGAGACTTACTTTATATAAAGCGTATCATTTCCAAGAACCATCATTTTTTTAGCTTTATACTTTGAAATAATTTCAGATTTATAGAAAAGTTCTAAAAATGTACAGTGGATTTCTATGTTTCTATATATTATTCTCTCAAATCTCAAAATGTTAACAGTTAACCACATTTTAAAAATCATTCTGCTTCTCTATATGTGTGTGTGAAACACACACACAAGTATACGTTTTTTTCCCCTGAACCATTTGAGAGCAAGTTGGTGACATGATGCTTCTTTGCCTCCAAATACTTGTGTGTATTGCTAAAACAAAGGACATCCTTATAACTACAGCACAAATATAAAAAAATAATGTTGATTTAACGCTATTATCCAGTCTATAGATCTTAATCTTACCTGTCTCAGTAATGTCCTTTTCTAACAAATAAAGGCTGTTTTGTTTTGGACTGGTATTCAGTCTTGAATCGTTTGTTGCATTTAATTATGTCTCTTTCACCTCCTTTAATCTGGAGCAATTCCTCAGTCTGTTTTTCATGACGTTGAAATATTTTTTTTTAATTTCATAGCCTCTCTTGCTTTTTGTAAAATTTAATTTTAATTGGAGGATAACTGCCTACCATATTGTGCTGGCTTCTGCCACAGAGCAGTGTGAGTCAGCCACAAGTACACTTTTTTGAAGAACAGAGGCCATTTTGTAAAACATCCCTCCATTGGATTTGTCTGATGTTTTCTCATGACTATTAACAGATTCAAGTCATACACTTTCAGGAACATGTGCTCCTTTCAGGAGAAACATGATATCTACTTGTTTCACTGCTAGTAACGTTAACATTTGGTCCCTTAAAGTGGTATGTCCCAGGTTTCTCCACTGTCAAGTCATGATTTTTCTCTCTGTAGAATATCTTATGGGCTTTGAGATTATGTAAATACTTAGTTTTTCATTAAACTTTCACCTACTAGTTTTAGCATTTGTCAAGAAATGGCAATCCGCCCCAGTGTTTGTGCCTGGAAAATTCCATGGACAGAGGAGCCTGGTGGACTGCAGTCCATGGGGTCGCAAAGAGTCGGACACAACTTAGCGACCAGACAACAATGTACATGAAGTAAACTGAGGCTGGTTCAAATTACCAGTGATGTTGTGCTATTTTTCCAACAGCATTTGCTTATTTCATTCTCTGTGCTTCATTTGGGTAATTATTAAGAAAAGTTCACTTTTCAAATGCTTACTATTATATTATTATGTGATCAGTGATCTTTTTTTTTTTTCTTTTTGGCCATGCCATGTGGCATTTGGGATCTTGGTTCTTGACCAGGCATTGACCCCATGCCCTCTGCAGTGGAAGCATGGAATCCTAATCACTGGAACATCAGGAAATTCCCTGATTAGTGATCTTTTTTCCTCCATCAAATTCCTTATTTACTACTCAAGATAGTAATGGAATGATAATTAGCTATTATCCAAATTTGCCTCTCAATTTTCTGCTTGAAGAGTAGTTTCCCTTCTTGACTATTTAAAAAGTCCTAGCAGAAGTGGAGACCTTTCTTCTCCCCTCCTTTCTGTCTATCCTTTCTCAACCATCCTGGGAAGGAACACAATTTATTCACAGTTAAACTTCTTGTTCATAACCTGATGAGTGGGCCTTGATTCTATTACTATGACTTGTAAACATCAGATGATGGTTAGCAGTTTTTAGCAATAAAGTATTTTTTAATTAAAATATGTATAATACAGTACAATATAGTTTTAAAAGATAATGTTATTGCAGACAATAGAGACTACAGTTTATTGTGCACATAACCTTTACATGCTCTGGGAAACTAAAAAATTCATGTGATATACTTCATTGTGTTATTCGCTTTATGGTGGTAGCCTGGGATTGAACCTGCAGTATCTCTGAGATATACCTGCATGGTAGTCACCAGATGGTGATTTCTAAATGCCGTATTTCTTTTACTTTAGGTGTTATTGTACTGTAAAGAGGACCCTTCTCTTCTGCCATTGATTCATTTATCTCTACCTATATGGATTCATAGTTTGTTGTTTTATTCTCTGGGTTATAACTTATTACTATAATTGTTTTGATGCTCAGTTGTCCCAGATTGGCTAGTATGATATTCTACAGTCCACGTCCTCTAGCCATATCCCCATCACTTCTTTGCACATGTCCTTACTATCTGGCAAAGAATTCCGGGCTCATCTGTGCTTTCCCTGCCCCAACCCAGGAATTAGTAATTTTTCTAAGAAATATGTTTTTTTTTTTTCATTAAGTAGAAAATTTAGAAACCAAGACATGAGTGCTAGGTATTCTCATTGCTATTGTACTGTCACTGTTTCTAGACCCTCTTAGAGGACAGAACTAGTAAACACATGTATGTATGTATTTGTATTTCTATATCTATAAATATTTATATTTTCAATTAATCTAAATGTATGAAAAATCCATGAGTCCATACTAATGCTGCCAATTCCAATCCTGGACCTATGATTTATAATTACTATCTTGAAACTGTGTCAGATCTTAGACTTGATAACATTAAATTAATCTGCTGTAGAATAGGACCCGCAATATACTCTGGAATTGAACAATACATCTACCCATTCACTTACTGACTCACATCCTATGTGCTAGGACCTGGTTAGGAACACAGAAACAAGAAAGATTTTCTCCTTATCTTCAAGCAGCTCAACCTATTAGAGACGATGGAGGAAAAATTAATGACAATATAGTACAGTAAGTTCTGTTATTCACTGGGCTCTATGGGAACTGAGAGGAGGACCACCTGTCCCAACCTGAGTAAACTGGATTATTTCAAAGGAAGTGAAAATAGGTTGCTTACACTAGTTATTGGGAGAGTTCTTAGATTATTGTATTTGCATGAAATGAAGAGTGCACTTTGTTTCTGAATAAAAGTACATTTTATGGAGTGCTCTCATTTATCTAGAAGGGGTCTCTGCATTGATTGAATTCATCACATTACTACTTAGCCATGACAATACCTATGCAAATAAGTTCCAGGGAAAGTGCTGTTAGTTTGCTTGTCCAAAAGTTAGGTTTTGGTCTTTCTGCTCTGCGCCTCCCAATGACCATAAAGGAAGGGAAAAATGTGGGACTTCGTTTCAAACTACCTATTATCCCAAATTAAATAAACTGATTTTGCCATTGTATTGATTGCCACCCTCTTGAGTAATGGGCTTCCCTGATAGCTCAGCTCGTAAAGAATTTGCCTGAAACCCGAGAGACCTGGGTTTGATCCCTGGGTTGGGAAGATCCCCTGGAGAAGGGAAAGGCTACCCACTCCAGTATTCTGGCCAGGAGAATTCCACCGACTGTATAGTCCATGGGGTCGCAAAGAGTCAGACAGGATTGAGTGACTTTCACTTTCACTCTTGAGTAAAAAAAGTTTATGAATACTGATTTATCTAAATATAATCTTACACTAGAAAGTTTGAAAGAAAAAGATTTGTGTGTATGAGGGTATATAAATGGAAAGTAAAGGCTAAAAGAAAAGCAGGGTGGAAATAATAGAATGAAAAATAAGAAGGGAATTTTATTTTTTCTGTCTCATATATATACGCATACACACACACACATATATATATAGTATTCTAATCAAAATTTATCACTAGATCCTTTTTTCCTCCTTATTTTAAAAAAAATAAGTGTGGGCTATCTTCTGGTTTGAGCATATCTCATCAGTTTTCCCCAGTTCTAAGCCTGGTCACTCTCATATTGCTTATGTCACCAATTTAGAAATCCCAGATGAGGAAGTTGTTCAGTAAGCTGTGTAAGTAAAGACTGCCAGTACCAGGAACCTGACTGTGACATGACTTGCTACCCTTCCTTCTGCTGCAAAATGATTCTTTAGTATATTTGATACCACAGAAAAAAGTAGAACTGAGAAATGTATACACCTTTCTATTCACTACAGGAACATAATCAAACATGACTGAAATATTTATTTTTTTTTATCAGAGAACCTTAGATCATAGTAGATATAAAATCAGTTTAGTCATGAAATGGTCATGATAAGTTATAAACTTCAAATGTTAATAAAGATACTGAAGTTTTATTCTTATGTTTTAAAAAGCTGTAATTTTATGTAACCATAAAGTTGAGGCAAGGGTAGTTTGGAATTTTGGAAAGAATTCCCAGCCATTGCTGGCTGCATCTGGGAGCAGAAACACTTGAGATCACTGCGTGTGTATCAAACGGAAGGGGCCGGCTTGCGCCAGAGGTCCATGTGCTGACACCAGTGGCACCTGAAGAAAGCATGGGTCCTCCCACTCTGCACCAGGCTCCTCTCCCTCACATGCAAGGAGCCGTGAGAACAGGGGGCCACCAGGTCAGGGCTTTACTATATGTAATGATCAGTGACAGCTGCTGTGAAAGTGAGAATTTTAAATTACTTTATTAAATATTATATTCAATTTAAAGGTTCTGACCATCCATAATCATCATGATACAATATGTGTGTATATATGTAAAAAAATACCCACCAACATGCTTTATGAGGAATAACTGTGCTTTGTAATCTATGCAACATGAAATATGATTTTCTAGAAAAAACCAATAATCAGAAGCAGGAAAAACGGTATGCTTTAATAAGAGCCTATTGCAGATTCTGGAATGACGGTGGCATGCATGTCTCTTGTCATGTTGGACTTCTCTTTCAGCTTTGACTGCAGGAGCGTGTGCTCCACGACTCCGACTCTGATGTCCATCTGAGCGGTTTCCTGCTTCAGCTTTGTGAGGCTCTGTTTAATCTTCACCAGAGGAGCTGCAGAATGGAAATAGCATGGAATGCAAATTTTCATTTGGAGTATCAGTTTATTACAGAACGGTATGACATTTTCCTCACTTTGTCTTAAGCCAAAAATAGGGTTAAAAACATAGCCAACAATTTACTGACATTCACACAGTTTTGCTGTGGCATTTTAAACACCTGAAATTTCTAGGCTGGGAAATGATGTAGCATTTGATGTACTGAGGCTGAACTTCTTTTCTAGAGGAAGAGTTGCTAAAGGGGTATATAATGATTTCTTCAGTATTTTTTAGTGGGCTAATATATTTGTCTAAGGAAAAAAGGGATACTGTGGGAGAAAGGAGATTAAAAAAAGGATACAAAGGGAAGAAAGCGTGACTTTAACACATAGCTGATGGGCTCATTCAAACGTACTACAAACCCTCATCCATTACCTTTTGAGTGATCACTCAAGTATACACCATTAGAACTCTAAAATCTTTCTAGAACATAGCAAGGCCTTTGGGCAATCACCACCAGGCCATGTCAAAGTAACTTAGCTCACAATGGAGGATGATTACTGTCGGAATATTAATTCTTCCCTATCTGACCCTTGCCCATCAGGTCTACTGACGGTGAGGGAAAAAGAGAGTCATCACATCACCACCTACACTGAGTGTTTTTGTACTATAAAATGGAATGATGACTCTCACTGGGTGAAAACATAACAAAATATTCCTTTTTTAAACAGGCATATCAAAGTGTATATTTAAATATTTTCTACCCTATTTCTGAACAGATATAGTTTGAATAAAATCCTGAATGATAGTAAAAATGACTCTTCTCAGCTCATTTATAAGGGAAATAGTATACTGATTATCAGACATCAGTTTTGCACCATGTACCCCTCCTTCAAACAAATTCATTTTAAAAAGGAGACTCCTATCTATTAATACCTTCTTAAAAATACATTTCTTAAGCAGAGACACTTCCGCTCATTCTCTTCTTAAGATTAGTGTGCGCTTACCGCCGTCAGTCATACTGCTGCCTTTTTCTTCCATTTCTTGTTTCACCTTTTCTAGCTCTTCTGTGACCTTTCATTGAGAACAAAAGCTCTCATGAGTGCTCGATTCTAAAGAAAACTTCCAAATTTTTGAATGATGTATTAAGACAAATAATTCAGACATAATACACACATAAAGGGATACAAAGATATCTGCAGTATCCTGGACATAATTTGAACAATAAGATAAAGTATTCAGACATGCTAAGCTTTTTATCTTCTAAGCATGCTCCTATTGTTAAATGTCACCAAATTACTTTCTCATTAACTGTCTCAGGTTGTAACACGACAGAATAAAAAAGATCTAAGTTGTTTTTTTTTTAGGCATTAGGCACTGAAGCCTTGCAGTTATCTCACAGCATCTACCATGCAAGTCTCTAATGACTAGTTATTAATTAAAATACCATAAACATCCTAAAGGCTTTGCGAATTCTAAAGATTTACTAGGTAGCTTTCTTAATAATATAGTTTTGTAAGAGAATATGCCACCTCTTTATCTATAGGACACTAAAAATAACATTTATGCCATATGGCTATATGTAAAAATATTCTAACTGCTTTATCCAAACCATGAACTCCAAGAGGCATACTGTGCTGCTATACTGGCCCTTATATAAAGTCTACATCAACTCAAAATTGTATATAGTCTCTGTTATTAGAAAAATTCCAAACTTAGCGTTAATATTGGTAGAAAGTATCACCTTTAAAAAACTGAAAAATTTTTGATACAATCTAGAACCAAACCATAATTATTGTAACTTAGTAGTCTTTATTTTTTGATCATACTGGTGAGTAAAAACTTCCTTGGGAATAAACTGCACATCCAAGTAAAGCAAATTAATTTTGTTCAGGCATCTGAAATGTTACTACTGGGGATAACTACATACTCCGAAAGAACTAAATGGTTCCCTGGACTCCCTTCCAGCGTTAATTTACCTAATGTAAGTGAACACTTTAGTTCTGTATAATGTTTTATCTGCCTAGAAGCACCACAGGACTGGAGTCTAAATATTTCTAAAGTAATATTTTTTATTATTTTAAAATAACTATTTACTCCTCAAATAATCTCCAGGAAAAAAAGCTTAAGTCTACTGCACAGAAATGTGTGTGTGTGTGTGTCTGATCGCTTTGCTCAGACGTGTCAGACTCTGTGCGACCCCACGGACTACAGCCCACCTCTGTCCATGAGCTTCTCCAGGCAGGAATGCTGGAGTGGGCTGCCATCTCCTCCTCCAGGGGATCTTCCCGACCTGGGGACTGAACCCGCATCTCCTGTGTCTTCTGCACTAGCAGGCGGGTTCTTTCCCCACTGAGCCACCTGGGAAGCCCACTATACAGAAGAGTTTGTTACAATTATACGCGAGTGTATCCAAAGATAGTCTTAGACTTCAGTCCCACACTGGCTACTGGTCTTGTCAGGTCTTTTTTCCTCTCAGCTCTTCAGTGAGAAGTGGGAGTATATATTATTAATATATATATACACACACACACACACACACATATTTAAAGGTAAGGCCTAATATATAATATATAATACATGTATTATTAATATAACTAATATATATTAGGTCTTCCACCTCTTGCAAAATGATGAAAATAAATACAACAATGTATGTAAACATTCTAAAAAGTCTTCTTTTTAGACTATTCTAAAAATCCCTTCTAAAAAGTCTTTAGAAGGGAAAGGGTTAAATGCTCATCTCAGTTTGTGGACAGAGAAATAGGATCACGTACAAGTTATCAACAACAATCATTAAAGAAAAATTATATCTTAAATACTAACATTAAGATTTACTATAGACATTTAAGTAAATATTTTACTTACTCTTCTATATATTAATTATAATTATTATGCTTTTAAAAAGATTAAGGAAGGTTATAAAGGTGCTAATATTATCAGCATGTTTTATGTTATATTCAGTAAAACAATTTTAGGCATTTTGTGGGAATAAGTAGGTATATAAATACCTAACTGATTCACTGGAAAGAAAATTTAGGGACTTTTCTCCTGAAGAAAAGGATCTGGAGCCACAGGAAGCAGTTACTAAAGTCCACAGCCATGGCTGCAGCCGTATCAAACCGTCCGAGGCTGTCAACAGCAGGCCTGCTGGCGGGCGAGTCTGGGGCAACACAGTGCTTACCTCAGACAGCAGTCTGGTCCTCTCAGTCACCCCACCGTTTCCCTGCTGGTAACGCTCCCGTGCCTGAGGGAGAAAACACTTTGTTTAATGGCAAAATCAAAACAAGCAGATTACTTCAATATGACCTCTCTGTACCCCAGTTTCTGCATATCATTTTATGACAACCCCCTCCTTGTCTGTGAGTACATTTGTGAAAAGTGACAATTTTAACAGCATCTATTTTAATGTCCCTAATAGGCACCATGTATTTAATGAAAACACTACATAAGGGTGAACTACCTTAATCATCATATACTGACTGTGTAACACACAGGGCCACGATTCACAATAAAAATTTGTCCTCAGCCATTCCTAAACAGTCTAGACAACGGCTCTTGGTTGATCTAATCTGCCTGCTATGCAGAGACAACTCATTCTCAAAAACAGAGCATCAGAATCAGTAATTAGTAAGATTTAACAAGCAGTATGACAATATAGAATATGTTCTTGGGAACTAATTTAACAATGATTTAGTGTCAGTGTTTAAGAGATACAGGGTGGCTTTAATCAGAGACTTTTTACAGCATTTTAAAAGTAAAAATATCCATGAATACGTGTGTATATGTGTGAACAGTTAATTAAACAAACAGTAAAAAACGTGAAGGTTAGTTTCTGCTTCGTCTTTGAGAACTCCTAAAAGTATTAAAACAAAAGTATCTCCCAGTTTATTTCCATTCTTTTCTTCTCCCAACCTTGTCTGCCTTCAACTGACACCTGTAGATGCTCTTAGAGGTCTTCCTCAACATCGGGACAGTGGGGAGCATAAATCCCAGAGAAAAGCAGTTAGATCCCTGCTGCTGGAACAAAGCGTGGCTGCTTCCCAAGGCTGAAGGTTTTTATTTTTGGTTGAAATTCTAAAACTTTGAAAGGATCAAAAAATTTGCTCATTTAATTAATTAAACTGTGGTCTTTGACGGTGTCTCGCTTTCCCATGCCTTACTGTGTGGTTGTAAGCCATCGTGGCAAGGCTGTCTCTGCTCCCTGACACATGTAAATGCATACTCATCTACTTCCTCCTGCTCAGACAGTCAATCCGCAGCAGACTTAGCAACAAAACCAGGTGTCCTGACACTCGGTCCCTTTTCCAAGGAATATACGACCTCTCTTAGTTCAATCAGATGAAGAAATGCATTTTAAAGACTCCTAGGATGTCATTTCTAGGACACGTAAAATGGAGACAACAAGTTCCATCGGCTTCCTAATGCGGGCAGAGAATTACTGGGTGCTGTCTGTGAAAAGCACTGCATGGCCCTCTAGAAGAGAAGCGCCGCGTCAGGTTTCGGGTCAGAGTCATGGACTGGAATGAGCCCTGGGTGTCACTCTTCACTTACCTCGCTCAGCTGGGCTTGAGCTGCGCGATATTCCTGAACCAAGTGCTCGAGCTGATTGTTGATGTACTTTTCTCGGCTGCCGATCTTTTCCAGAGTCCTACTAATTTCATTATGAAGTTTGTCCAAAAATCCCTAGAAATTTCATGAAATTTTAATAGGCAAAGAATGCACAGATACATTTTTCCAAAGTAGTTTTAAATGGGTTAAATCTCCCTCCGTTCAGCCCACAAATTCTTAGTCACAAATGAAAAAGACGAAACAGTTTGAAATTTTCAGTAACAAAAAAGTCTGCAATGAGAATTATTTTAGTCACACTTTGCAGAATGTTAAAATTAAAAAGCACCTGGTAGTGTTAGTTGATTTATTTATCCTTATGCAAATCCAAAATGTATGTGAGTGGAATTTGCTTTAAAGTTCACAATCAAAGTAGGTAAAGGAATAACATGATTTTCTTACAAGCACAATTCAAGGATGACTGGACTATTGAAGCTGGAAGTAGATCATTAAACTTATAGCTCTGGTCTGCAGTGACATCATTGGGTGACGCAAGAAAGATGCCAGTTGTGAGTGGCATGCAGAGGAAGAAAGGGGTTCTACAGCAGATGCATACTTTGGCATGAGCAGTCTTGCTATGATTGAATTGTGTTTTCCGAAATTAACATGTTGATGCCTTCCTTTCCCCCACCTCCCCTCAAGTGACTGCACTGGGACCTTTTAGGAGGTGATTTTGATTAAATGAGGTCATCAGAGTGGAGCTCACAGAACTGGTGTCATTACAATATGAGCAAGAGACGTCATAGCTCTCCTTCCCCACGTGAGGACACAGCGTTAAGTGGCTGCATGTGAGCCAGGGACAGAGCCCTCCCTGCAACCTGGCTGTGCTGGCATCCGGACATCAGACTTCCAGCCTCTGGAACTGCGAGAAAATAAACTGACACTGTTTAAACCAAACCAAACTTATAGCTCCAGCCTGGGAACCAGAACCTTACACCAGCTTGGCTTCCTTGTGGTAGCCTCCCAAAGCCCCTATTACTGGAAGGGCAGCAGGCCTGGAAGCTGGGGGTTCTAGGCATTGCTGGCCTGGCGCTCTGTTATTCTTTGAGATTCAAACAGGAAAGAATGATGAAATGATTCTAACACACCTACATATATAAATAAACTATATCTCAGGTATGCAATAAACTATACACACACACACACACACACCCCTTTTAAATAGTTACCTTTCTTTAGTTGGTTTAAATCTTAGGGCTGCTGAAATATAATATGGTATATTCGATCACTAAACTCCTCAAAGGTAAGGACTGGGCCGTTTTTCTTTCCTATTTTCCCTTAACCGGTGCTTCACAGATGAGTAAATGGACTCACAGACTCATCTGAAGTAATTCACATACCTTGGTTTCCTTTAGAGCAGATTCAATCCCACTTTTGTGCTGGTGCATTTGGTCAACATGGATTCTCCAATCCTGTAGGGATAAGAGCACAGAGGAAAAAGTAAAAAATACATTTCCTTCTTTCTTCTACTTTTTTGAAGCTGTATTCTTCATTTTAATTACTTTGGTTGCTGCTCTATTTCAGGTAGGAGAGGCCTATATATAGCTTGCAATCAGATTATAAAGAAATATGTGTAGAGCACTTCAGGATAAAAGGTTCTAAATAAATGTAAATGTAAATAATTTTATGTGTTCACAGAGTGATGTCTGACAATTTGAATATAAATTATCCCTGCACTGCTGGTGGTTAATATTTATGACTACCCATCAAAATGAAAAAAAAAAAAAAAACAACCTAATTACTAGAAAAGAAATACTTGTTTAAACAGTAACACTTATATATAACAGAAGCAACTCTGGAATCAAGTTTTTGTTCAGGTGCTAAGTCATGCCCAACTTTTTGTGACTCCATGGACTGCAGCACTCCAGGCTTCCCCACCCTTCACCATCTCTCAGAGTCTGCTCAAACTCATGTCCATTGAGTCGGTGATGCCATGCAACCATCTCGTCCTCTATTGTCCCCTTCTCCTCTTGCCTTCAATCTTTCCCAGCATCAGGGTTTTGTACAATTAATTGGCTCTTCACATCCGGTGGCCAAAGTATTGGAGCTTCAGCTTCAGCATCAGTCCTTCCGAAGAATATTCATGGTTGATTTCCTTTAGGATTGACTGGTTGGATCTCCTTGCAGTCCAAGGACTCCCAAGAGTCTTCTCCAGCACCACAGTTCAAAAGCATCAATTCTTTGGCAGTCAGCATTCTTCATGGTCCAACTTTCACAACTGTACATGACTACTGGAAAAACCACAGCTTTGACTAGATGTACCTTTGTCAGCAAAGTGATGTCTGGGCTTTTTATATGCTGTCTAGGTTTGTCATAGCTTTTCTTCCAAGGAAGAAGTGTCTTAATTTCATGGCTGCAATCACCATCTGCAGTGATTTTGGAGCCCAAGAAAATAAAGTCTCTTACTATTTCCATTGTTTCCCCATAAATTTGTCATGAAGGGATGGGACCAGATGCCATGATCTTAGTTTTCTGAATGTTGAGCTTTAAGCCAGTTTTCTCACTCTCCTCTTTACCTTCATCAAGAGGCTCTTTAGTTCCTCTTTGTTTTCTGCCATTAGGGAAGTATCATCTACATATATGAGGTTGTTGATATTTCTTCCGGAAGTCTTGATTCCAGCTTGTGATATATCCATTCCAACATTTCACATGATGTACTCTGCATATAAGTTAAATAAGCAGGGTGACAAAATATACAGCCTTGACGTACTCCTTTCCCAACTTTGAAACAGTCTGTTGTTCTATGTCCGGTTCTAACTGTTGCTTCTTGACCTGAATACAGGTTTCTCAGGAGGCAGGTAAAGTGGTCTGGTATTCCCATCGCTTTCAGAATTTTCCACAGTTTGTTATACCCACACAGATAAAGGCTTTAGTGTAGTAAATGAAGCAGATGTTTTTCTGGAATTCTCTTGCTTTTTCTATGATCCAATGGATGTCGGCAATTTAATCTCTAGTTCCTCTGCCTTTTCTAAATCCAGTTTGTACATTTGGAAGTTCTTGGTTCACACACTGCAGAAGCCTAGCTTGAAGGATTTTAAGCATTACCTTGCTAGCATGTGAAACGAGTGCAACTGTAAGGTAGTTTGAACTTGATACTGGAATCAAGTATCATATATCAAATATTAGTTTGTCCCTTGAAATTAAAATGGGGCTCTCTTGTTTAGACTTCAGAGTCTCTCTCTTAAGAAATATCTATAATGATTATTAGAGTTCATATATTTGAGACATATTCTTCTACTTCTAGACTGATCTAAATTTGTGTGCATATTTAAAATCTATCCCAACATTTTAATTTCTTAGAAGAGATTCTCAAAATTTTTGATTTATATTACTAAAGGTAACAATTCTAAAACTTGGGAAATATTCATCAGAAGAGAAAAAATACTAAGGTGAGTTGAAGTAAGTGATGGGGCCAGGCTATCCCTCAAACACACATACCTTCCTGCATTTTCTCCCTTCCTGCTCCCATTTTATATCTACACCACTTTATGAAGGAAAAACTCTTTTGTGAATAGTTCCATTCTAAAGATTTCTTAACTTTGAAACATGTGCCTGTGATTATATGGTAAAAGGTCCTTGGGTATTTCACATGTATCAATTATGAAACTACATTACGTCTGCAAAGAAGCTCAAAGGGCATCCAGCCTGACGGTCATCGTTTCACAGATAGGCAAACAGACTCCCGGCAACAGAAAGGGCCGCGTCCATGGCCCCAGAGGTAGCGGTGCATGTGGATCAGAGGCCCAGTGCACTAATTCCCCAGTGTCTTTTGGCAGTTCAGAGTTAATAAAGGGGGACACTGGCTGCTTGATGCCAGTGAAGGTGCTAGTGAAAGACGCGTCTGCTGCTCAGTTGTGTCCAGCTCTGCAGCCCCATCGACTGTAGCCTGCTAGGCCCCTCAGGAAAGAATACGAGAGTGGGAAGCCAGTCTCCTCCAGATCTTCCTGACCTGGGGACCAAAGCCGGGTCTCCTGCACTGCAGGCAGACTCTTTACTGCCTGAGCCACCAGGGAAACCCTAGAGCAGAGAGCAAACAGCACTTTCCTGTGTCCTTACACATTTTTCTGTCTCATGAGTGGAACGTATCTCAGAAAACAGAGCGTGGAAAGAACCTTGAAGATCATGGATTCACCCATCTAACAGTCATCTAGAGAAAAGGCTTTACTGTGTAGTTGAGGGGACTGCTCACGACCTATGACTATGGTTAGACGGACGTGACCAGGAAACAGGCCCCTCCAACTAAGCCAGTCAACATGGGAGAAAGAAGGAGAAGCAACTGGCTGGCCTCCTGCAACTAGACCTAAGACGGTTAAGTTTCAAAATGGAAACCCGTTTAAGCGCAAGCAAGCATCTTGATGAAAGTTAATGAACTTAACAAGTATCATTATAATAATTTTGTAAAGAAGTATTCATCCTGCCTGATTTAAAAAAAAATGTCAGAAGCTTAATAAACATCAGGCTCAAGTATCCCTATCAGTCTCTCTGTCAGTAGATATATATGTAGATGTGTGTATATATAAACATATATAAATGTATAAACATACACATATATTTATATGTACATTTAAAATTTAGTGTAACTGGTGTTTAAAATAGTTTCATGTTCTACTTTTTTCTACCTAGCATTGTTTTCTATCCAGCAAATGTTTAAAACATGTATTTTTTTTCATGTTTTGATATTCAAAGTATTTTGAGAGAAGCAAACATGCCTGACTTATCTGTGTGTGACTATAATAACTTACATTGATGGTGAGCTCCATGGAGGAGCTGGCATTTCATTGGAACCTCGAAACATGAGTAGTAGCATTTCAGCTTGCTGAAGAGGAGGGGAAGAGGAACAGTATTTTAGGCTGAGGGAGTAACGAGAACAAGGGAAAACAGAAAAATATATAGAGAACAAGCAGCCCAGGCTGGCTAGAATATAACACACAAAGTTCTTAGGGCGGGGTGGGGTGGGGTGGTTGAATCACAAGGAAACAAAGCTGTTGATGGCAGGTTAAATTAGATCCAGGGCTTTAATTAAGGAGTGTGGATTTTATCTTGTAGAGATAATGGAGAGCTAGCAAAGACTTCTGGTTTCAGTTTTAAAGACAAGTCTGTGTTTTGAGAAAGTAACAGAGTGCAGGGCTAAGGCTGAAGGCAGGCAGCAGGCCAGTTAAGATGCTGTGTCGTGGTCGAGGGACAGACCAGCAGGGCTTCATCAGAGCAGAGCTAGGGAGAGTGGAAGGGACGGGGCGGGTCCCAGCGACACTGCAGAGACAGACTATCTGATTACTGACCCAGGGGAAGTGTGAGGGGGCTGAAGGGGACGTGGGCAAGTAGACAGATGTCTGCAAGGTTTCCAGTCTTAGGAACTGACAGCATAGTACAATCACAGCGTGACAGGAACAGAACCGATTTCAGGGAGTCAGAAATACTGAGGAATTTGGTTTTGGACTTTCTAATCTGATCAGCTAAGGGGACATTTGTGTATTCTTATTGCCTTTTAAAGTGGAAAACTAGTAATGATCTATAATTATCTGCCAGGCAAATTTGAATGCTTGTCTTCTTAAAATCTTTGAGATGGACACATTTCCCAATGTACAACTATTTTTATAAAAGCCTTATAAAAGTGTTCCTACACTTTAACCCAGCAATTTCACCTCTAGAAATTATTCCCAAGGAAATAATTGGGGATACACACAAAGGTCAATGTATAAACTCTGTGTAAAATAGCAGAACACTCTCTAAATATCTAACAGTAGAGGACGATTTAAACTAATTCTGCAACATTCACTTCATTCCTAAAAACAATGTAGTATGATAATGTTTTTATAAAGCTCAAAGCAAAAGTCAAGGATACACTACTTGGAGATGTACACACATGTTGCTATGTTAGTCGCCAAGTCATGCCCGACTCTATGTGACCCCGTGGACTGTAGCCCACCAGGCTCCTCTGTCTGTGGGATTCTCCAGGCAAGAACACTGGAGTGGGTTGCCACTGCCTTCTCCAGGGGACCTTCCCGACCCAGGGATGGAAGCTGGGTCTCCTCTGTTGCAGGTAGATTCTTTACTGAGCCACCTGGGAAGGACACACGCATACGTGAAAACACTAAAAAGGGGGAAAAAAAGAAGAGGCAGCAGCAGCTACTGGCAGTAACAAATCAGAGGGGAGTGGCGACCTGTGGGGTGGGGCTGGGGAGGGGCAGGACGCGGACAGCTCCCAGGGTATTGTGACGGCCCTTCTCTCTCAGGCTGGGTACTGGGCTCATAAGCGCTTACCACTGGATTTTAAAAGTCCATTGCATATTCAATATATAATACTGTGTATTAAAATGTTAAATTCATATCAAAAATACTTCATAGGAAAAGAAGCCTGTTTTTCACACATGTAGCATACAGTAAGGTGGAAACACTCTGCCAACAGAGTACA